TACGTACTTAAATCGACAATTCATTTTACTTACTTTTAGCCAAAACTTATGCACACCAGCAGTAATCTTAAGTAATATGTTTAAAAATTTGTTCCGTCCTCGTCGATCGAACAAGGAAAACGAAAATCAGCATGAACGACGTGAAGTGGAACGTCATGCTAATGAATTCGTTTGTTGTTATGATGATATCTTTTTTAATTTATTTGATAAATGGTTATTCATAAGATTTAAGTGAAAGCTCTATTTTAAGCAATGGATCCAAAGGTCAATGGGTAATTTGACCTGAGAATTCGATCTTACATCTTTTCATCTTCAAGAAAAATTATGCACAAATCTCACTTTCTCTAAAGAATTTTCAACCTATTTCTAGTTCAATTTATTTTCTCCGCTGTCTTTACAGGAACGAAACTCATATACTTCTAAATCCCTGAAAAATTCCCGTGAAAAGCGATCTTATCACGTAGGCAATCAAAATCGCCGTGGAACTGCGGGAATAGGCCTTGACGAGAGCGTCCCGTCAGCCACAGCATCTTACCATGGAATCTCTCATCGAAAGTACCCTCGTGGTACTCAATCCTGTTATGATTCTATTAATGAGAGTTTCGACCGTTTTTCAAACAACAATCGGTCTTTCGTTGCTTTAAATCATCCAAAGTATAGGGTAATTAACTTTGCTTTTACTTTTGATCTTAGATAAAAATTATTTGTTAGGTATGTATTCTTATTCCAAAAACTTCACGAATTTGTTCTTCACAAGAATGGATTAATATTCAAAGCATACATTATTTTCCATTTGTTATTTTTGTTCTCAAGAATTTTGTCAGCTTTTAATTAACGTTCAGTTTCCGCGTCGAGAATACGTAAACAATTCGCGTCGCAGCCACGCGAACTCTGAATATATGGCTTCGAATAATGTCTCACCTTTCTACAACCGAAATTTGGATGATTCGGACGCAGAAACATGGAATTCCGAAAGAGTAATTAAAGTAAATACATCCTCATCAATTATATATGTAGAAAGAAGAAGTGTGGAGGTTAATTTTGGTTTTCGCTTTATTGATTCTGGCGCTGTATCGCATTCCGGCACTCTGGCTGTACTTGTTCGGCGTTCAGATTTGTTGTGCTCATCGTTTTCGCTTCGTCCTCATAAAATCCATAACGAGTATCGAAGGAGATGCTTTCGAGCGTGTTCTTGAGAACTATCGATTGAATGCATGCCTTGACGTGATCAAATATACTGATCTCCGCGTAGCGTTTGTAGAAATTGGTTACAATCCCATCCCAAGTCAACACATTTAGAATTAGTTTGGTCTCTGACTCAAGTTTATTAGCTAATAGGTCATATTTTTGTTTTTCTCGGTCTCCACTGCTGTCAGCCTGTCCTGACTAGTGATGCCAACCTCAATCAGGATTACTTCATGTCGCTTCTTATCGTGTATCATGATATCCGGTCGATCCGCTTTTATTCTGATTGCAGTTCTCACTTGCTCATACGTTCTCATTTGCAACAACCTCCTGAACAGAATCGTTTTGCATGCGCAGAAATACTTTCAGACCATACTTCTTAAAGAGTCCCAGGTGGATGCATCGTAGGACTTCATTGTGTCTTCTAGGATGGTCGTGATGTAACATCTTTTCGTAATGCGTTGCTATATGGTCCACCATCTCCACACGTTCTCTACAATGTTGGCATATACCTTTCTCAGCTCCAAACATATTTCTATCTTAGAGGTTACAATATCGTGCTTCATCTTGCGGGGTAGTGTTTCCGTATCGTAGCCATATTGATGAAATCAACTATGGACGAGATTTTATTCGTCCGCATCTTGTACAGCTTCGCATAGTGAGTTCTCTTTTCCGCTATACAAGAACGCCTTCTGGGCTGCTAACACGTTTTCAGCGGTAGGATTTTCTGTCAGGCTGTACCTAGTCTTTAGATAAAGCACAATAATTACCGAGTAGATGTTATGAGCTTTATTCTGCTTCAAAATCACTGCTCTCCTGCTACGTACAGAAAGGCTACAACCTTGGAGAATTCCTCGCTGTATTTTCTTCTCTATTGCTTTTGAATGTAATCGACCGTCTGAAGATGATGCTTCTCAGGAACTTACTGGATACACAATAGCATGTTAAGCCTTTCTATGTACTTAATCAAGTATCCGTGATTAACTGAATCGAACGCTTTTTTAATGTCATACTACGTAGTACAGAGCTGGTTCACGAGCTCTCTGCAAACTGCTAGGTTCAACAGTGCCTATTCTTTCTCACATTAAACCTGGGTAACAGTTCTTAATCAGTTCTCTACAAGTATGCTTCTCATAGCAATATCCAACTGCATGACACATGCCACACATTTCGTTGTGAACTTGTAAAACATAGTTATTGGCCTGACGCTGCTTTCACTTGGGATACTTTTTGCATTCAAGTAAGCAGTATCTTCATAAAACCACGAATCCTGTTCTTCCCCATCTAGGAATACCCTTCCTACTATTTTGTACAGGTCTGGATGCAAGGAGGTGCATATTTCAATAAAAAAGTTATAGACTACATCAGGCCCTGCTGCTTTCCAATTGGGCAAATAGGAAAGAAACTATCTTCCTAAATTTGTCTTCAGAGAGTTAAGTATTATGTAGTTCATGATCTAAAACGAATTCTTCCAAATATTCGTCCTGCCCGATATTGTAATCCTTTCCCATCTCGGAGTTCCACATTGTACACCAAAAATCCCTGGCTGTTCTGCGGTCAAATTTCAATAGAACCGTCTTCTGAACAGCTCGAATTTGGTGTTTTGGACTTTGAATTCACACCGGGTCTCACAGCTTTTAATTTGACTTTCGTAAACCTCACACGGTCCGTCAATATGCTTAAAATTTCATGATAGTCACGCTTAAGACCAAGTATGAAGCTCATCATACACTTTTTGGCCCCCTTTAGGCCTTTGCCTTTAAGTTTATCATCGGCCAAAGTCATATATATATATATAGTCATGTATTCAATCGATAGTGCTCAGAAAGACGCTAAAAAGTATCTAAGCTTCTCATTTGATGACCGCTATGGATTTAACGAGGATGAAGCAAGAAAGATCAGCACAACAAGCCTGAGCCTGGAACAAGTGCGGCTAGAGTACTGGAGTACGTTCAAGAATTTGTAAAGAGAAAAGAAGACTAATCTCCGCAATAATAATTATTTATATATATATATTTATTTATTTAGAGGTTATTTATATTTATATTGCATATGAAGAAATGAAGTGTGGTACAAATTTGATAAGCAAAAAGTCTTTTTTTTCATCATTCAAATTAAATTTTTGCATAGGAACTCCGCGCTGAGTTGCGAGTAACAAATGAGCGTAAAAATTATTACAAAGACTTATACAAGCGTGAACGACAAGATCGGATACGTGATCGTGAATTGCGCGATTTGGTTGAAAAAAAACTAATGGACGATTTGAAAAGGAAAAATATGGAATGTTCTAGTAACCTGCTTCGAATTAAGGCATTAGAGAAAGTAGCGCTTTCAGCTATTCCTATTTTTTTTCTAAAAATACTCAAAAGTTTTGTTATGCAACAGTAAGATAACAAGTTTATACAATCAAAAGCTGAGCAGTTAGAAAAAAAAAGGTTTTGCTGTTTCAGAAACTGCAACTGCATCAAACTAGTTTTCCACCTACAATTCGAGAATCACCTTTTCGAGTTCCACACTTTTGCACACCTTCCACGTCTAACACGGCTTCAACGATGGCAGGAGCAGGTGAAGCTTTATCGAGTACGTCCGAATTGTTTGGAATTCAAGCTGCTTATCTTACCAATCCCTTAGCCAACGAAGCAGGTACAGCAGCTCTCGTTAATCTACCGATCAACTGCGACGAAATGCCAGATGAAACGAAGGTTTTCCGGCAACCTGATGATTTTACAGTAGAGTTAGCAAGAAATACTAGTAAAATCAAAAGAAAATCTGTGGATCATTGCGATGGCGGCAGTAATCAGGATGAAATTTCATCGAATTCTTTGCATTTAGCTGTGGATAGCAAGGAATACTGCAATGGAACGATACTAGAAGAAGATCCACAGTCAGACAATGGTTATGGAACCACTTCAGAATGTGCTTCAGAACGTGTACGTGGGATACATAGAACACATGGTAGTTACGATGCTTCGTCGAGCACTTAAGCATAACTGATTTACTGCATTATTAATAACACGCATTCGTAAATTACTTTCTTTCACATTGTTTGGTATTAGTCAGTATTTTTTTTCGTTTTAATGATATTTTCATTGTAATTAATTGGTTTTGAAAATGCCAGCCTATTGTCTTTAAAATGGTATTTCTTTAAATTTTTCAACTTTTGTGCTGATTTAATATATTGCTTAACGTGCTCTACTCTAGAGACAATGTCTCTATTCCCTGTTAAAACTTATGAAGTTTTCTTGCTTAATGGAACGAATTCAGGCTTTTATGCCCCCATACTTGCATTTCGTAATTTCTAGATTCAAAAGTATTCCTATTTTTCTTGAAAGTTTCGAGTATCCACTGCATGTATTCTTTGTTATTCCAGTATTCCATAAAATGAATGCTACTTACTGCTTTTGGAAATATATTTTCTCTGAGATACGCATCGAAATAATGTGATTATTTGGCTTAAGCTTTCTAAAAAGGAGAATTTGTATACAAAATTATTTCACGAACTCAGCCTCAGGTAATTATCTCATATGTGCACTAAACTCTAGTTACAAAACTTCGTCATATTTTTTAATTCTCCACAGTACAATACAGACATTCTTTTACGTGTCTCCCGATTACTTTGTAAACTTTTATTAATCTTGTACTGGAAACATTTTGTTTCATTGCTCCTAACCATTATTTAATACATCATAATATGTCTGTCACAAGCTTTCTTTTGTATTCTTGGTGTTAGTTATTATTTTTAAGATAATTAAAATTACATTTTTCCGCGAACAGTTCAGTTGATTAAGTGGCCTCAGTTAACAATTATCGTTTTGACCATTTCAATGTTGGGCTTCTTCGTGAAATAATCTTTATCCAAGAGGTAATCGTAGGCTCCTCTTACGATTATATATGACCATACTATGGCAGCCGCACCAAAAAACGACACCACAGCCAAATTAAACGGCCAAATAGGACCGAAATGGTCTTCTAAAGTGCGGATGCTGAAAATGAAAGAAAATAGAGTTGGTATCATATTCATTAAGAATCAACTAGAGTAATTAGTGCTAAAATGTATGAATATACGATTTCTGACATCAGATTATGAAGTAGCGGAAAACTTTTCTGGCTTGAAATGTATTTAGAGCATAGCAAACTTGTCCACAGCCACAAATTCTTTTAAATAAATAGATGACCATGTTAGTGAACAAGTATATATTTATGCTTATCAGTAGTTGATTTTTCCTTCTACTTGCTCTCCTTACTTAGATAAAAGGCCAAAAAGTCCATGAGTGGCTTGAAGTCCCATCGACATACTTGCAACTGATGCTACAGCCAGAATCATAAGTAATGTGCCCTCGACGTGCATGAATGCCATTTGTGGCCACAAGTACTTTGGCTTTTCCGCGATAATACCATAAATCTGAATGCTCGCTGGCAAAAATATAAAATATTCTCAAAATCATTTCTTTATTCAAGTTATTTCATGTTCATTAAGTAAGCACAAAACTAGGTTCGCAGTTGAGCGCAAACTGGTAATAAAAGTAAAATAAAATAAGACTAATTTATGAATATCTATAATCTACTAGTATTTCAATGATGACATTCTTTTAATTGAAATTAAAATAAAACAAAAGTGATTACCATTAAAATTGTGGTGATAACAGCGAAAACCAATAGTGTTACTAATTCTGCTAGAAACCATGCTCGATTATTTTCCTTACCAAACTCCAAGCCTGTAGTTTCATTTTCTTATGTGTCTTTAATTTCTCATACAGAAAATAAGAATTTAAATAATTCAAGATTTTATATACAAAATGGTTTCACATACAAAATAAGCTAAAGTTGATGGTTAAAAAGTGACATTTGAGTTGCTGACTAGATGATTTGTCTAACAAAATCTACTTTTAGAATTCGGCAAAGAACAGGCATAGTTGATTTAGTAGTTGATGCAGTACACAATTATTAACTTACTCAAGATTTTAAGCACTGTAATAGCAATAACGCAAATTTCAATGATTCCGCACAATATAGCAGCGTTTTTGTAATGCACTGCGTGAAAACAAGCTGGTGCCATGTAAAAGTCGTCATCTTTGTTGTAGACGAATGGTTCCTTCTCGAATTTCTCTTCGTTTATAGTAGCTTCTCGATAAGTCGGCATGGAACTTTTGTTCAAATTCAGTGCACTTTTAATAATAATAAGTATGGAACGAAAGTAACATAAGCAGTTAACTTTAATCCTTTTCCCTTGTCCCCTTCTAAGTATTTCACTGATTATGCCAAGAATCCAAATTGGAAAAGTTAGTACTCATGTACTAAAGAAATTGTCAACAATTTGGCAGCCCACTCGTTAGTTCGAAATGCTTATTTGGTACACACGCATTATTTGGTATGGTAAATTTAAATGTATGTATTCATGGATGGAATTTTTGAGATAATGTTCGGGAAATCTGGAAGAAAGATAGGAGACAGTTACTACAAGTGTAAATGAAATAAAACAAGCAATTAGAGACTGGGCAGAGATTTACTATGAAAAGTTTCAAGTAACACTGACAATCAAAAACTATTATATACGGAAGACTGGACAGGAAGTTTAAATATTAACCAATAAATGATGCACGGAAATGGCGAGATTTGTTTCAGTGTGTTGTTGATTTGGATGAGAAAATACAAGAAAGGAAAGGAAGGGAAAGTCACCCTATGCCCACTTCAGCACTTATTCCATCGAGAGGAAGGAATGACTGTCTTTCCCTGCATTGCCTTGCCTTGCCATGCCTTGCCTTGCCATGCCTTGCCTTCCATGCCTTTCATGCCTTGCCTTCCATGCCTTCCCCTGCTTTATCTCTCCTTGTCAATCTCTTCTCTTAAAATTGACCTAATTTTATTTTCTCAATAAATTTCTTAAGTCAATGACTTATATTAAATAAAATCGTAGGAACGAAGTCATAACAAATAATGCAAATATATATCAATAACTATTAAATATTACTAATTAAATGAAACTAATTGCAACACCAATTTCTCGGGAAAAGCTCTCACCATTACGGAATTGATTTTTTTCTGCAAAAAATAAAGTGATGTTATTTCTTGTTACTGCCAAATTCAATTACAATCTCACTAAATCTAAATCACAAGTAATATGTCGCGGAACATTCAGCATATCAGATGGATCCAAATCTGCGAAATGACATTCAAAGTTTTCATATAGCATCTTGTCAGAGTGATATAAACGCATTTCATCCAAAAAAGTTAGTCGCAGTGGATATGAATCTTAATCAGGAATGAGATGGTGGCTGAAACTGAAATGCTTGACAGTGGTAATGTGGTGTGGAGGTAATGTTTTTTAGTGACGTAAGTTTATATATATTTAACGATTCCTATTAACTATTTGAAGGATCCTTCAATTTTTGTGAAGTTTTTATTGAAGGCTGAAACTCTATAAGCATAATGATTAATTATCGTTTAGAAAACGGAAAAGGAATAAAAAAAAAAGAATACGGAAAATGAAAGAATTGAAAGATATGCATGAAGGCGATGAAGAATGTGTGGGGGACAGTTCTTATATCAACGAAAGAACTTCTGATAATCGGCCAAAAACAGATGCTGGATTTAGTCGTACCCCATCCGATATGTCTGAATCTGATCGCGATCTAACCGAAGGAATTGCAAGAAAAAAAAAGGTATTTTATCTTTGATTCCTTCTTACATTTAAAGAGAGATAAATTCAAGTATGCTGTCTTTAGTGCAAACTTGTTTTTCTCAGAAAGAAGCATCTTGACAGCAAAAAAAATGCAATATATTTCTCGTTTAATGGAAAATTTTATGTATTTTTCGGGAAATATTAGAATGATTGTAATTATTCAATTTACATTCGTCTGCAAAGAACATAACGTTTCCCTCTGAATAGGAAAGTTCTCTTTTAGTCAATTTAATTATGAAATAATAATTACAGTTTTGAATGTCTCATTTTAGAAGAAAAGACCGAAAGACAGAGTTTTATCGAAGAATGAAGTGCCAGAAGAAAAAGAACGAAAAAGTGGTATCATTTATTTCCAAACATTACCACCGAATTTCACCGCTTCAAGAATGCGTACTGAGATGAGTAGATTCGGTGAAATTGGAAGAATCTACTTACAGGTAAGTCTTTTTACTTTAAAAAATTTCAAGGCGAAAATTTCTTTTGTAAAAAATTTGGTAAATTACTGATACCTCAGAATGATGAAGTCGTTCTTGGTAATTAATCTGCCAATATTCTTGTAACCCGGGTTTCTGCGTTTTAAACATTGCAACCATAAATAGTAATAATAGGCTGCGAAACTACGCAATGCAAGGGGTAAACGCAAAAGGAGATTTGTGGAAGGATGGGTTGAGTTTAAAGAAAAAAATATAGCTAAGCGAGTCGCTGTGTCATTAAACCAAACAGCAGTTGGTGGAAAACGAAGAAGCTCTGCCCGTGAATCACTTTGGACGATGAAATATTTAAGCGGGTTCGTCATGAAGTCTCCCTGGTTTTCAGTATTCTTAAGTTGTAGTCCAATTTTATATTCATCGTCTGTTTATAATTAACGAAATATGGTCGTCTTTTGTAATCTTATAATTTGCGGTTCTTGTGATTGCATAATCGTTGAAAATTATTGATGAGAAAATGATGGATTAAGGTTCAAGTGGACACACTTGGTAGAACAATTGAGTTATGAGCAACGAATTGAACGACAGCGAATGAGTGCTGAAATAGCACAAGCAAAGCGACAAGCTTCTTTCTTTGCTGACCAAATAGAAAAAGGAGAACAACTGAGAAAACTAGAAGAAAAGGTCAAATTTTTGATGATAGTGAAGTTGAGCTAACCAGGTTCTTCGAGTACTGATAGTTCGCATGAAGTTCGTCTTTGATACTTATTTGTTTTAGGTATTGAAAAGAGGTGGCGTATGGCATAAGTTCCAAAGGGAAGTGCAGCAGCGTCCAGTGATAAAGAACAAAGATGACGAAAAACAAGTTGATAGCCAGCTGCTACAGATGATTTTTACAGGATGACTCGTCTCTCTCTCTCTGTTTGCTTTGCACTGTGCAACAATATCTTACATATTACTTCACGACTTGTCAAGTTTACATATATTTTCTAATTAAAGCAAAGTAATTGCAAAATGCTTACTTTACTAAGCTTTACATATTTATTTGCCAGCAAAAAAATTTTTTTCAAACTAATTTTCGAGCACCAATATCTTTATCATAAAAATGTAAAAAATTACTACGAATTTGTAAAAACATGTTGATCGTATTAAATAAAAACATGTTGATTGTATTAAAACAACTTTCTACGTTCTACCATGTACTTTCTTTATATGGAAACGCTAGACAGAGCAATACAGATTTATATTGTTATTGAGAGTTAGTTTCGTTTTAAACAAAGTCATCCTAACAGTTCAAACCTACTTGTGCTATGCGTCTTCACGTATTAAAAGTTTGAGATTTTAGAGTTTCATGTTTCAACATTGTATGCAAAAACCTGGAACGGTCTTATTTGGTATTTCTCAAATTTTGACGCAAAACAAGAAAGCGAAAGTGCTGCAAATGCAGTATTACGTGATTATATTGAACAATCGGGATGTTCAATTATTCTAAAGGAAGTAAGTCAGTCGATAACATCATGTAATTTAAAAATGATTTCAAAATAAAGTGTAAACGAAGCTATGGAATTTTGAATTCACTCTTAAGAGGTAATATGTACAATATATGAGCAAAGCATGCCTCGCACTTGGTAAAGAACGAATGTATTTACTTAGTAATGATAAGTGAAGCGATTAGAAGAACAGATGAATGAGGTAAGCAATGACTGAAGTATTAATGGACAGTTTCATCAGCTACACGCACTTTAGCTCGTTCCAAAGGTGCAAACTTCCACGTTTGCCTGCATAGAGGACATGGCGGGTGGGGGATTCTCTGTGATTTTGTCCATTTTACAATGCAGTGCATGTGAAATGCATGACGGCATATGCCAATTGCCTGCAATTTAGAAATGGAAAAAGTATTAAAAGAAGATATACAGTAGAACAAGTAGGAAGTAACGGACATTAATATCGCCTTGGTCTATGACCACTACATAAATTGTATGATAAAAAGTATTTACAGTTTGTATTCTTCTGCAATGTTCATTATCTAGTTTCCCAAAACCAATAGTCAGAAGTGTGAAACACTACTGTTTGAAGTTTGAGAGAATATGGTTTCATTATTTAGTCAACATCAAAGTGTCTTCAAATTATCACAAACAAATATGGGAGTAAATATCGGCACTAATTCGTATGGTTATTGACAGTCAAAAACTTTACAAAAACTCATCATTTAGCTAGATATGCAGGAATTAATCCGGAACAAAAAAATAAATATTGCTCCTTTAATAAAATTCATCATTCAGTTAATATTTGAGAATAATAGAGAACTAACAATTGGGCATTCATCTCCCGGAGTCCGACATGATACACAGCAAGACTCAAACATCTCCCGACATATTCCACACGGTCCCTCTTCGATATTCCAGTGCCACTTTGCCACCATCTTTAACTTGGCATTTTCAGAGGAAATAGTTTTCCAGAAGACATTGTAGAAGAAAAAAGTGTACCAACATTCATTTTTCGAACCGAAAGCTTGAGACGTGTTTGAGTCGGCAAAGTATAAGACTGAGATTTTATTTCGTTGTTTTCATTGCCTTCCTTACCTTTGAAAGTTTTTTGACCTGGATTCTGAAATGACCTTTCAACTTTAAAGAGAATAACATAACATTTACAAGACTCAAAAAATAATATCTAAGTAGAACCTTAACTAGAACGAACTACGTAAACTTAAATATTTTGAATTTGAACTCTGGGAAATACATAAGGTCGCCAACAATTTTGATTTTATCTTCTCGTTTATCAGTTGGGGAAGAAAATAGAGATGAAGATTATAATTTGTTCTGTAATCATACAGCTTCTATACTAAAATATTGAGAAAGATTTTAAAGATAGATAAAAACACTCTTTTATATAAAATTCCCTGACCCTCACCAACCGTTTTCTCTTCCTATACACTTAACAAGATTTTTTTTTTCTTTTTGTTTAGTCTCAATTAATACAAAAAGTTTACAAGATTCTTCACATTAAAAGTTAAATTTTTAATACTATTAAGATTCTTCTTAAAACAAAAAAGTCTCTAAAGCGCTAGAATTATTTTAAAAAGAGTATCAACACTATCTAAACTTAGTGGTTCTATCTAAAGCTCAGAAAATTACTCTACATTTATTTTAAGACTTTTATCTCCCTTGCATTAAATAAATATCACCTTTACATTAAAAAATGTCTGTATCTGAAATTCTTCCTCACACTTAATAACATGGTAGACCGTGATCTCTTAAACTTTTCACGATAATTTTACTCTTACTACCACCTTACAACACATCATAAGATAATAATTCCTTCTGAATTGAATTTTTAGAATAAAAATACATTATAGATACCAGAAATTATCGACACCATAAAGTAATTTGAACTAACGAATACTACAAACAAATTATGGGTAAAACTCACCTTTCTTCTTCTCTTACTTAGTCGCATGAAACACTTTTTTTGACCTCTGTTTTATGCAAAACACTACCTTCCCAATTTTCTAAAAAAACAAAAAACCAGTGATTATAATTATGATGCTAAACATTTTAAAGAAACTAACGCTTGTGTAGGTAAGACTCTATCGTGCGGCATTATCATAGATGCGAAAAATCATTTGAAACAATTAGCGACAAAAAGTCGAATCTTCTTCGCATATTTTATTCTTAGTCTCCAAGAAATTAAGAAGCAACAATTCTAAAGGCTGTTTTATAATCCATTACTGGAATGATCCATTGCTTTTAACATATTTATATCCTGTACATTCAAACTCCCTCTCGCTCGGACCAAATCTTTAACCTCTTAATCAATTACAGAACAAGAATATGATATCTTGCGACATATTTCTATACTATGTGCTTAACATGAGCTCAGCATTTTACTTATCAGCTGCTCATAACGCTCTCTATTTTGTACTAAACTGGCATACCATTTTACTACACTTTTGGCATTACTTTCTGACATTTCTATTTCTATTCTTCTGCTATTTAATCGGAATGAAACACTGTAATAAGTCATTAAAGCTTACCTCACTATTACCACTAGCATTCACACAAGTAATCATTGTTTTATTATCAAATCGGATACATTCACAAATACGATCAGGTGGTTTATACTTATTAAGGTAAGTTCCGTGCTTAACAATTCTGACACTAAAAGCAGAAGTGATTTCGTTGATGATAAAAAATATTTGAAAATTGATTTACAAATCGGATAAGACAAAATGAACTATGAAATGGATAAAGCTAAACGAACATGAAGCAATAAAATACAAAGAACGAAAACAATATTTGAAAATTGGTTTGTAATATAAAATTTCATAATTTTTGTCTCATATAAACTCTAATGTATTTGAGATTATTCGATTTTTTAACGACACTAACAATAATGAAATTTTCTAAATGCCTACTTGGATCGGATAATGAGCCTCCGATGAGTTTGCTGGTAAGTACTATTTCAAAGCAAATAATTTGTAAACGTCTAGTGTTCCTTAAGTAAAGCAAATCTAGCGTTTCTTAAATAGCGCAAATTAAACTCTTTAAAGGTCATTTCAAGGTCAAACCAATGTGAACTCAATGCATATTATACTGATAGCAAGAATGACATGAACCATAACGGGTAGAATAAAACCGAACTTCTGAAACACATAAGCAAGTAGTAAAGCAAACACATAACAAAATACCCTAGTTCCTTACACTATAAATAATTGTAAGAAGTTACTAATATTCAAAAACTCTCCCGTTAGGTGAATATTGTTCTGAAACGCGATATGATGTAACTTTGCTTTCGTTACTACGAGAAACTTCTTTTATTCTATTACTGTTGCAATCACAGTTTACACATAATTATGGATTCATTCAACGTATTTTTCAAAGCAAAAAGTGTGATGCGAGTCAATGAGTTTTGACTCTCTGTGATATCAAACGCATGTAAAAGAGGGCAATGATTTATAGGAACAGGTCAAACAAGCAAACAATAATTTATAGACCGAGTTGCGTGAAATTATTGAATAATTTGGTGTAAAATTCACATGACGAACACATCTAATCTTCGTTCCATACGATGGGCATAAAGAAAGATAGCAGGGAAAAAAGGTAAAAAGTCTAGCAGTGAGTGGCCTGATAAATTGAATACACGAAACAGTGTTAGAGAGAGGAGATCTAGTGTGGGATTAGGGTTTGTGCGAAGTGAAAAGAGCATGCTAGAGCAAGAGGGTAAGAAGACGTGACTCAGTTAGATGTCAATGTATCGTGGCCCTCGTCATTTACGTTGTTGGCGTTCATGCCTTGTGTGCAGCTTTCAAAGATATGTTTTTTTATTGGAATGCGAATAAAATATTGTGAAGTAAATGCGGAGGAAACTGTATCTTGAGCAAAAATCAGGTTCCCGCCCCGCGGTAGAATTTAAATGCTAATGAATCAACTTCGACATTTATTTATTTGTGAGGTTGCAACTTTTTTAATCTGTGTGCAATGAAAGTTGAAGAAATGCATCTTTAAAATAGGAAACAGTTGGATCAAAAATTATTGGAAATAATTGTCACAGTTTTTAAGGTATTCACTTGTGAAATAAATTTATTGAACACATTCTTTCATTATAAAGAGGGCATTTACTTAACGCACTAGAAAAGTGAAATTATTGAAGAAAGTTCTGTAAAAATTCTTAATTTTATAGAAAAGAAAACTTTAGACTCCAGTTGCACTTAGTGGATCGTTAAGTTGGTTAGAATTGAGTGTAATTGAATACGACTATATTGCACTGTTGCTTTCGCCTGTGCTCGCTATTTTACAGGGTTTTCAAGTTCTACAAATTAAAAAATGTTACAGAAACCTTCGCATAAATCAACCCCAAGTGTTCATCTTCCTCTTTACAGGTTGGTTTTTGTTTGAATTTAACATAACTTGCATATACAGCCTTCAGTTTGTTTTTTGTGTCCCGATTCTAACATTCATAGTCACTACAGATTTTACAGGTATTTTCAGTGTAGCAATATTTTATAAGTTGTGATATTCATCTATGCTTGCTTTTTGTTCGTATTTCAAAAACACAGTTTTGTCTCTTTTTGCTTAATAAAATTTTAATTTTTTTTGGTATGTCAAACCTGTTTAGAAATTATTAATACGTTTCAGCTTGTTGATACTTTGATATCAAAAACACAACCCTCCCCCTCCTGTGAACAGCATAAGTCTGTTCCTTAACTTATCAGTTCAGTCTAATTTGGGAACGCATTATGCATGATATCACTATTTTTTTGGTCATGTTATCGCGTCTTCAGGTTTAACATCAGCTACTTTGTTGATTCCGGCATATTTTAGTTGGTTGAATTCGACAATTTCTAGTGATGCTTCCTGGGAACCTATCGATTATGTAAGTTAATTCACAATCCACATGATATGTTCAACGAGCTAAGATTATTATACTTTGACGAGAGTTTCTAAAGTAGTCGTTACTGTCAAACATATTATATTGCTATATTTCTGTTAAACTTAGAAATTATTTCACGATTTTATGAGTATAATTTTCAGTTACTAGTTGGTATGTCAATCATATTCATGCCAAACTATAAGTACTCTGAGATATGGCTACAGCTAAATTTAACGGCGTACGATTATATGGTACTAGAACAAACCAAGTTTTGGCTGGCAAGTATGGGACAATGGTACCTACAAAACATGGCTCATGCAACGATATTTGCTTTGGCTGGCAAAATTTTGATGCTCGGTGCCCTAGGAAGATATTTTGCCGCTAAAAAATACCTCGCATGGAACTGTTGAAGTCATTCATTTGAAATTATTAGCGTATAAATTTGCACATATTTGCTTGAATTGATTTCAGAATTTTTTGTTGAATTTTACGGTAGTTCATGGAAGCAAAATTTGCTTAATTTAAACACTTAATTAAAAAGTTAAGTGCGTGACGATAGAAAAGTATGGTTTAATGGCAAAAAAAAAAAAATAGCTTACGAAACAGTGCCTTTCATTGTACATCTTTTTTTTTCAATATATTATGATGTATTGTGTTATTAACACTAATAGAAAACTTAATAATAATTTATGGAAACAAAACTGATATTATCACTACAAGTATTTGATTGCAGCAGTTATCAGGGAACTGCGTATTGAGTGATTCCGATTTCAATAAACTAATTTTGTAACTTTTTGCCTTCAGAATATCTTTCCCGATAAGCTCGCTCTCAAAATTTTTCAAATTTTACTTAGAATTTGTATTGCTTGCAATTTTAATTACTTTTAGAATATGATCATTTTAGTGATAATCATTTGTATTAAGAAAATGCATCGAAATGTTTTTTAAGTGAAAGAAGTCTCGTTGTTATCTGAAAAATTTGTGAAATTTAATATTCAGCAACATGTCTCTGCTACTGGAGCACTTCTTTTATAAAATTTCATTTGGACATTCATCATGTTTAATTTCCAATAAATTTTCATATGTAACGTTAGGTTCAAGCACTAAGCTGAATAATGAGTGATTGTTTTAAATCTAAAATGAATGGTTATTGCCATTGAAATGATCTGACTAGTGCCAAATTCAATGAAAATATTGTCATTGATATTAATGGTGATAATAATAATAAATAACTATTTGGAAGGTTGCAATTTTGGAAACTTTCTGCATATAGTGTGCAAACAGCAGCTGACTAACAGCTTCACGATCATAATTTGGCTTCAAGTATATTTTGACGAGATCGTTACTAATGTTTGCATCAGCAAATTCTGCAGTTTGCTGGACACACTGTTAATAATATCAGTTCATGTTGTTATTTCCAGACTGTATTTAGTACATATTTGCAACTGTCAAAGTCAAATTACGCTGAAACAAATTAAATGTCACTTGTAACCTGTGCACTGCCTTACTTTGTTTTTGTAGTCCTTGAGCACCTTTAATGATTGTAAATTCAGTTAAGACAAAATAAATGATGGAGCAGTTAATGATAATTACAATTGTCGAAAATATTTTTGAAATAATAAATAATGATGTAACACAGCTCAACTGTGCATAGTAAAACACATTCTTCTGTATCTAATGTGAATCTTTCAGTGTCCTTCCTATTTATTTTGCTATTAAATTTTATAAATTTTAGATGTCTTTTTTTATTTAATTGAGTTTTAAAATTTAATAGAAGGAAAAGTACTGCACATTTTAACGTATAATTTCTGGAGATAATTTCAGTATAGAAGAAATTTGATCTTATCAAGGAATTTGATAAATACACAGAGATATTCATATTCTTTCGATGCAAATTTGTAACACATTCAATGGTGACGTATGAGAATCGTTTATTAAATCAACATCTTAGTACGAAGGTATTTCAGATTCTCTAACCCCATTCTAAACTTTTGTTACAAATATTCTGTACTCATCTTAAATTCGCATAATTTTTTATCCATATATTTGAGTGCGAGCTGTGCTAGAATGTTTTTTAACACCCATATCTTTAAAACATCTTTTATTTAGGTTCAATCCTGATTTCTTCATAGAAATTTCACTAAAGCATTTTAATATTTGCAGAAAATATAACTGCTAAAAGTTCTTAACATCATCTCTTGGCAAAACAGTTAGTAGCAAAATTAGCAATTTATCGCACTGATAATTTGTATCAGTGAGGGGTGAAATAATCTTCGATGGAATAATTGTTTATGAAATTGTTTTAAAATAGGAAGGAAGCAGAATCTGGTGTTAGTAGAACTTTAGTTCAAATACGCATTTTTTTAAAGTTTATTCGAGAGCGAATCTTTTCTCTGCTGAAAGATTAACTGATCCTGAGTTGTTTCAGGTAAGTGTAAACCTGTATCAAAGGTCAAGTTTGATCTTGGTATTAATCTTTTACTCTAGCTCAAGCTATAGTTAGCTTTGACTTTACCTGGTTTCTCTCATCTTTTGCTAACAATCATCTCTGCTTGAAATATTTGATGATGAACAAAAAGTTTGAGGTTTTGGTCGACTGCTGTAATTTTTCTAAAAGCTACAAATGTTTCCTGCAAAGTACTGCGTTAACTCTGGATGATTTTTTACTATGGAAAGAAAACATCATTCTCAAAGACACTTAAGCTCATCAATAAATAGCATTCTTGAAATCAGATGCAGTTGTTGCTGTGTCTTCACTGTGGAGAAAACCCTTGTTTTTTGTCGAGATAAGTGAGGAAATACACGGATATTGTGGTTCTGAGAGTAAATGCAAAAGTTTCACTCATTGAACGTCAGAAGTAAAGCGATGTGTGTGGGTGAGATAAAGAAGCGCTATTCTTAGGATTTTTTCAGCCTCAAGAGAACTGCCAGAGAGCAGAACAGATGCCGAGATTTGCATTGAGAGTTACATTGTATGGTTGAGCTGCTTGAGGTTATTATTTCTGATCAGACAAACGAGAAAAGATGCAATGATTGTGCTAAACAGCAGTAAGGTTTAATGTCGGGGATTGTTCACAGCAAAGCATACGATGCTCGGTGGTATGTTCCGCCTCGGGAAATGCCAACTGATAAGAGGCTAAGGAAGAAGCAACTAGTCTTAGTTTAAACACCACAGCTCGAAATTAAATTCGAGTCAAATTTCGAAATTGAACGCTTAATTTATTGCTGTTGGCTTGCATTGACCTCTCCCCACATTTATTTTCAGTCAGTCTCAATCGGTAATTGAAAATACCGGAATTATTGAATTTTGAAGAGTAGGCATGCATTCAATCGTTCCCTCCGTTTCTTACTAACATTGCTTTGCTTTTGCTTCAATTTTTGGCAACTGTCAAAGTAATGAGCAAATCATTACTTTGCTTGCTTGTGATCAGTTTCATTCCTTTAAGTTTGATCGCGTCTGTGAATAGATGAATACTGTATTTCAGAAATTTGTACTCATTGCTGATGAAGAATTTCCATTAGTTCTGAGAATGTTTATCACATATGACATTTATTCAATTTTCTATGATTTTTACAATGTTCAGCCTTTTAAAGACTTATATTTTCGCAAATTGATTCTAACTGACTTACTTTCTTGGAAAATAAAATGTTTTAGATCTTTTAGCTTTCCAAACAAAACAGTTGCAGCGATAATAATCAGTTTGAAGGACATATCGTGGCGCCAAGTTGAAATGAAAGTTTGAATTAAAGTTTCTAGAGTTGTTACACTAAATGCTCAAAAATGAGCAAACTTTTAGTACCACAAACAGACTTATTGAGTGTTAGACCTTAGTAATAAATGCACTCTGTTTACACGCTTCATTAAGCATAAAATTGTTTGAAAATGCAGTTGATAGATTGGCTGATCAGAATAATGCAGTCACACAATAAGTGAGCACTACTTTTCATCAATTATATTTACCAATTTTTACATTCTCAGTTATTAATTTCGGCTAATGAAAATATTTGAAACTGGTGTCAATAATTTGTTCAGTTATTAATTAATTAATTGATAACTTTTTCATACACTAAATTTGAATAATTCATCAGAACTGTTTTGGTTGATAAATTTTTTTAAAAGTACAGACAAAATATTTTTCTTCTAAACATCTTTTTTTTAAAATGATAATAGTTATGGGTAATAGTATTAGTACTATGAAAAGAGTGATAGCAATAAACATAGAGAAAGGTTGCAATATCAAAAGTTATTGCTTGTACTATTATTTGGAAGAAAAATATTCTGTCATACTTAAAAACTTTAAATTTGTTATATTAATAATAAAAATAGTTGTTCAACTTGTACCGAAACAAATTCGAATCCAAGAAGTAATTTTCTCAGAGTTAATAGTTGACCGAATTTGTTTCCATAATTATAGAAAAAATATTGACAACAAAACAAATTAGTGATGGAATACGAGGAAAATTGATTGCCCAGTGGTTTATCTATTACTTGACCATACAGTGAAAAAGTGAATTTTTTGGTAAGTTTTAAAATGGAATGGGCTAACGCAGAAAGGTAATGAGCATCAGAAGACTATTTTCATGAGGCATTTACTTTTATTAGTTATTTTAAGTGTAGAAAGTAAAGCCATCGAGACTAGTTTGTAAGTTTCGTAGCTAGTCTATACTTGAATTTTTTCAGACTTCTTTAAGGTTATTTTCTGAAGTTTAATAATAGCTGATCTATTCCAATGTAATAATTTTTTTGAATGGCAACTTCAAAAAGCCAACAAGGACAAGTAAACTAGTCAGAATAATAGCTAAACTTCTACATTACTCTCAACATCTTTGTTCTTCAAGCAAAGTAAGTTCATTTCTCTAAATTGACTTTACCGACTGTCTTATTCATGAAATTTAATCGGTTCAGACATTAAATTATAAAATGCTGATTCCTTTCTTTTATGATTAGTTAAAAGTTTCTGATAATTTTCTTGGTATGTAATGAAAGATTATTTTAATTGCATGCAAGCACTGAAACTTTGTTGAATTGAAATTTTTGTGTTGCCAAACAATAATTTTACTCTAAACTTTCGGAACCATTAGCTGCTAGCTAGAAACACACTTTATGGTTTTTAATAGAGGCAGTATTTTAGTATGCATATTTTTAGAATTTGTAAAATTTTTTAGTTCATGTAAGTCCACAACATCTACACTCAAAGTTATTTTTAAATATGCCGATATTTTATCTTTATTTATTTATATCGAAAATGTTTTCCTTCTTCAATATATATTCACGTGTGTAGAAAGCATTCTGCGTTTTGCTTTCATTTTCTAGCTTCCTTCGTACAGAAAAATATTTTCACGCAATTCACAAAACTCTGAAGCATCATTATAATGTTTCTCATCTGAAATTGTTTTTGAATTGCTAGACTTGTGCAGCAAACAGTTGCAGTGGTCTGCTTGATGTTCAAGCGATTTCTGACGAATTGATGAATGAAACGAAGACGTTTAGATAAACCTCTTGAAAGCAACAAAGTCGATCGTAGCTCCGTATCAGCCATTATTATTTATTATTTTAGTCTTCTACACAACCAAAAAATTGCCATTACATTTAGCATTTTACAATTTTTTTATTCGTCTGAAACATGGAGAAGCTTTTATTTTAAGCAATTATTCTCCAACATGAGTTTTTTCTCGACGAAGCACTGGAAAGCATCAGTAAACCTTTCAAAGCAAATCGTCACCAAAACTTTGATTGAACTTTTTATTAATATGCTAAATATTTCAGGTCCCGAAAAATTGATTCACTTTGACTTTTGTTTTCGCGCAAGTTTTGAATCACTTTTGTATGACTTCAGGTAGAGTTTCAAATATTCCAAATAAAATGCGTATAATTACATTCCTACATGTTTCAAACCCTTGCTGGAATTTTCCTTATCAAATTGCTTTTAAAATGCTTAAAGTTAAAGTTTTCAGCAATCTTTGAAGTTGTGTGTATTTTAAATATTCCTCATCGATAGAAAATTCCCCATAAAATTGTATGCCTGAAATTTCTCCTTGAATTTACTTTCATTTACTTTCAATTTAATTACATTTCAGATCTTCCTCTAAATTTTCAACTTTTCCTTGTTGCACAGCAGAAAAGTTAAACTTTAGTAAAATATCTTCACATTCACATTCATGGTTGCTTCACTCTACAGCTTCTCTCGACAACATAAATAACTATAATAACATCAGTTATTACTAACAGATGTTCTAAACATCACGCTTCCAACAATTCTTTCAAATGCAACCAAAATTTCCTTTGTTTCAGATATGATAAATTTAACTGCTACCATAACTATGGCTATCTGCAATCATGCTAATTTAATTCTTCAATTTATGATCATTCTGAATTACTGACAAAAAGTTTGCTTTTCTCTTAAATATGTCCTAAGTAAAATTTCAGTGTTTGTGTCTTAATTTTTTCGTACTGTCACAACTTTCAATCTCTACAACACTAAAATTAAGTCTTTAATTCTTCATATCGAATAATTTTTTCTTATTTCCTCAATAAAAAATTAAAATTCATCAGAGAAATGAGTTTTAATTTTTTTATTTTTTATTTTAATTAACCTCACTTTGAAAATGCATCTCATCCTTTCGTTCAGGAACTAATCATCACTTTACGCATAGTTATTAATTTTTTTCAAAAAATTATTCTGTATCAAATTAATGGCTTATTTATATGCAGAATCTGAGCTTCAAATGCAGAGTTTTTGATTTTCGTTCACTATGCGTGAAGATTTTTTTCACATCGAAAAATTTTATAGTCTTAAAAACACAGACATATTATGAGTTCAGGATATTATCATTATTACATAATAGTAATTCATTTAAATTTCATTCTTTAAATAATTAGTTGAATGTTATTGATCATTCAATTTATTTATTGTGATGGAGTTAGCAAACACGCAGGAGTAGAAAATAAAATTTGATTCAGATGCATCAGGGATTGGATTTATAACAAACAAATAAACTTGCGGAATCAAATTTTTTCCACACTCGAAACTTGAATTATAGTCTTTAAGTTTCAGCTTGTTGAAAATTCAGATATTTTCCTATGTGATCAGCGATTAGTAATGTGAGCTTAAGCAGTGTAACAAAACAGATGCAAACCTCAGTAGCAGAAGTTAACTTTGAAGCAGTCGACTGTTATTTTTAATCCGATAGCAAAAATATGTTTTGAACTATCTAACAAATTCATTTAGAAATTTTAATTCAAAAGTAAAAGTGTTATCCAATGCGAGCATTCTTTGAGATCTACTGAATTAATTACGTTTGAATTACATTGACAAATTATTTCTAATTTCTTTTTCTGAAGAGAATGCAAGGAAAAGAGAACACATTGTCTAGATTTTCCTGCAAGAAAGGAATGAAGGGAACAATGCAAGCATTAAGCTTCACAGCTTTGGGTTTAATAATTTGCCTTGGATATTAATTAATGTAAGAGGACCAAAAATTTCAATTTACGCTGATAACTTTTGACACAATTATTTATTGAATTATTCTTTTGAAAATTAATAATTATTTTTTGCCTTTTGATGAGACGAATTCACGGGATTCTTGTTTTTGTGCTTTTTGTGTTCATCTTAAGATAAAGTTGAAAAACAGGAAAAACAGGTGCGACTGCAATCGAAAAATGCGAGATTTTAACTACGACGTTCAATGAAAGCAAGTAATTGTGATTTAAAAATCATATGTTTACATCTTCTATAAATATATCATTATTATCAGTATTGATTAGATCATTATATTCGGTATTTTTTGCATAATTTTTACCATATTAATAAATTTATTATTGCTTCTATTTTGTTTACGGTTGAGAAAATAAGCAGATCTTAGTGTCGATCTAATAGATTTCCAATAATACAGCCAATTAGCTGATTATCGAAATTATGTTCCTGAAAAATATCAAAAAACACCAAGTTATGTGTTGAAAAGCATCTATATGTTTCAGTTTAATGATGAAAAAGTTCCTCTTTTCGCTTGCCTTACTGACATCCGAAAAAGGTTGACTTTAGTATCAGAGACCGGTCGAAAATTTTTCTGCAGAAAATTATTCAGCCAAAAGTAAAGAGAAATAATTCTGTTATTATCATCAGCTACTATAACTAACTTGAAAAATGGTTCAGCTGGAGGAAAGTACATAAATACTCAACAAATACTGTCTTGTTCGGATCAAATTTACAACTCTGTTATACTTATAATCAAATATCTTTTTTTTAAAAAGTCTGCGTGGAAAGAAAGTAAATGCTTTAGTCTCTTTAAAGTGAGCTTTTGTAAATTCGAGACAATTTTTAATTTTTAACTAATTTTCAAAGTTAATTTTTCTTCATTGTGCAGACTTTTGCCAACTAATGAGATAAATTGTATACAATTGTTACTTGTTTTATTTTTACGTATCGCGCGTACCTGAGTGGAATATTATGTAATTTTACTTAATAGAATTAATTATTTACTAGATTACAGGTGTTTCGTACTCGTGAAATCCAGCAGAATGCCTGCTCCAGCTGCTCATGGTTAGTACTTTTGCTAAAATTTTTAATTTTATACATTCAAGCTTTCGAAAGTATTAACACACAAACTCACTGCTCCAACTTTTGTAATTATTTTGAAGAGCTTTGGAACAAAAGTATTCTTCCAACAGATTGCAAAATGATAAACATTTCTCAGTGCTGCAACCCTTCGAGAAAGCAAAGAAATAATGCTAATAGAATACATTTTCAAGTGTAAACATAACATAAAGTTCGTGCATTACATTGCAGTGATCGAAGTAGCAAGTGAAATTAGCAGTTTACATTATCTCACACAATTCCGTCCTGCTCTTATTTGTTTTTCGATATAAAAATTGAATATATAGTCACATTAATTCTTTTTATGAATAGTTTGCCACTTAAAATTATATCAAATAATTTTCATATAAAAAATTGAAAGATTCACAAGCACATGACACTACCAAATTCAAATTATTTTAGTTATTTTTCTCGAATACAAATTTATGGTCTAACCTTTTGGAGTGATTAATTGGAAAGTCGGAGTGAGCAGATTGACCTTTGAGATCAACAGTCATGCAAATAAAATGTACCTTAGTATTTGTCTCTTTATAATAATCTTGCAAAATTACAAAGAATTAGTAGTAAGAAAGAGTTCTGATAATATGTTATTTTAAATTTATTCTCGAAACTTTTCTGAGATTAACCTGCAGTCTGAAATGTATCTATTTTATGCTGAGACTTTATTTACAATCGAGACTTTTCGTAAATTGCGTTAGTTATCACTTACCGCCCTGAACATTCTTACTTATATTTTATTAGCACTATCAACACCATTTTAAAATAATTTGAGGCGATTGTTGTAATATATGCAAGTGTGTTCAAAACAATTTCGACCGGAAAAGTTAAAACTTCCCGCAAAAGTCATGATGGTTTTTCTCCGCACTATTTATAGTTAGATGGAGTGAAAGTTTCTACTGAACTGATTTTTGGCGTTTGGTACTGAGATTTCTCAAATTGCTTGAGGTTTCCGCATCATTTTAATTGTTTGCTTATCTTTTACATACTTTATTACTTAAAGAATAACATTTAGCACTTTTTGGAATGAAATTAGCTAATCTTTTTATAAGAGCTAGTGGAAACATATTAACTATTACTACTACCACCTTTAAATACTTTTATGGAGTTCTGCACAAGTCAAACAGATAGTGAGGTGGGAAGGGATATGTCTGTCGTGTATATATGTATGATGGCAAAATAAACGAATTGAACTGTGTCAACAGTGCACGCTTAAACAAGTAAGTTAGTCATCACTTTTCTCCGTGAAAAGTTATAAAGTCTGAAGTGATATTATTCACTGCTTCTTCCATCTTTCGAATAATTTTGTCGTTCATATCTATTTCGTTTACGGCTGCTTGTGAAAAAGAGTGAAAAAAAATGTCTAACGTAGAACGTAAATACCATGTACAGTTGACATCTAAAATCACTGAACACTGGTTATGTGAACGAAACAACCTCGATTCCTCGATAGAAAATGACGGCATTAGTATTTGTCATCAGTCGTATGGAAAGAGACACGAAGTTTCTGCACCTACACTTCATTCAACAGCGAACGAGAGAATTAAGGTACCAGAAAGTAGTAAAACGGATTCGCCACATAAAGGTATTTTAATTCCTACCTATTACTATCCTATTTGTTGCCAAAGTACATCTAATTCTCTAAAATCACGGAATATCACATGTGAGGCATCGTACATCGACAAACCACTGGAATTAACGAAGATACAATGTCGAAATAATTCCAATATTGTAGGACATCTTCATACTGAAAGGAGTAAATATGAGACTTTGGAGGACCCTGGAGTTTTTGTAAGCGATCGCTTGCAAGAAACTGTGAACATATCAAATGTACCACACAAATCATGCATTGATGATTTTACTAAACGTGTTAATGTAAGTTCGAATGTAGAAGTATTTCCATACAGCTACTATGATGATTCTGACGATGACAGTAACTTCCTAAAAGAATTGAAGAAAGAATCCAGTATTCGAGAAGGGTCAAATTCGCAATTAATAAAAAAAGAGTTTAGATCAGAACTTGGTGCTACTGGAAATTGCCGAGATTTTCTTAAATTGATGGATCATACTGAAACTGTCAAAGATTGTAACAAATGTAAAGAATCTGAAGCATTACTTATACATAGAGCAACAGTGAAGAATGAATGCGAGCATAAGCAGCCACTGTTAGGATATATACAAGCGAATGGGAATAGTAAAAATAATGAAGCGACGAGAACTGCAAACAATAAATTGGATTTGAGCTGTAAATTTTCTCGTAATGAAAAGAGAACTATGCGAGATAGCTATAATACAACATCACCGTGGCATCAATACTCCTCTCAACTATCAACAAAGTTGAATGAGAAGAATTTGACTAATTCAATATCCTCTCACGGACCCTTAATGCCTTCATCTGTCACTGCTGAAAAAAAGTTCAGGGTACCGAATGTCAGCGAGTGGTATCAACAAACGGTGATGCTACCAAGAAATGCTGAAGGTAGCATCCACCATTATTTTGAATACCTTATGTATTTTCAAAATTAAATTTTATCTTTTTTCTATTAAAAGCATTTTGCTACAATTTTCATGCCTTTATTTCATTAATTTTGTGAACACAAAAAATTGGAATTACAAAATTTTGCTGTTATTACTGAGACAATTATAGTTCTAAATGAAAAAAACAGAATTTTATGCCTTTGTATAGTTAAATGAATTTAATAGACGTAAATTTAGGTATGTGTAAGTATATATGCCAAATAATTAGCTTCCGTTGGAGGAGCTCTAATTTAGTTATTGAAGAGTATGCTAATGATCAAAAACGCTATCCAGTAGTGAACAGCAGTATTGTTTTTTCAATAAAAAAAATTATCAAATGTACTAAATTTGATATTTCTAAAAATTTGCATTTTCCCGTTCATAAATGACTCCTTTGGCATTCATAATGAACAGAATAATAATAGCAATAACGTCAATAATCAACATGAAAACCGTTACTTTTGTACTAAATATAATTATTTTTAGAGGTCAGTTTTTTCATAGAAAATTGGAATGAACTGCTGATTAAAAATATGAGTTTGTGATAATAGCAAATTGCATTCTATAATCTTTTTTCATTCATTTCAATTTTCAAATTTTCCGATTTTTCTATTCGATTTAAAAGTATTTTTTAGCAACAAAAATTTTGGAAGAATAAAATCAAAAACAATTATTTTTGCTACCAAGAAAAAGAATAATGAATATCATTATTACTATTACAATTTTTTAGTGATAAAAAAGTCAATGCATAATGGTTCTCAATTTATCTAAAAAATAAACAATAAATAAATTAGATAAAATCAGTGAAATTACGAGTACTAAATTAATTTAAGAAAACTATATTCATTGCAGCACTAAGAAATGGATTAATAAATACATGCAAGCAGAATTTTTTAATTTCATTATATTTACTTTTTTGTATTTTCATATTTTCACTATTTAGAGAAATCTGGTTGGCTTTTATAATTTTCATAAAGGACATAAAACGTTAAACTTGACTTTTCCTTGAACTGTATACTTTTAAAAATAACTTATGCAACAAAAACTTCTAGTGAAGTCAAAATAGGAAATTAAATTGGAGATTTGAACTAAGTGCATTATAAACATTTAAATAGCAGTTATCACAAATACTAAATTAATTTAAGAAACTATATTCATTGTTTAGTATCACAAATATGCAAATCAGTATGTATATGAATTGCCGTGAAATACACGTCTTTTCATGTAACTAAAATGATTATACAGGTAATTTAAATAATTATAAAATAAGTTTTAATTTTTTAAATTCTTTAATGTCTTAAATTGAAAATTTGACTTCTTGAATTTTGATCAAAACAAAAATTCAAACACTATTGTATAACTGCATTTGGTATGATTAAAGATGACACACAAGCAGATGCAACAATGGAAACTCGGGTTGCCGGACAAGGACAACCTAAAAGGGTTGGACGATGGACTTTGGCCCAGTTACGTCAAACTGACGGTATAATCTCACGTGTCTTTTAATTTAAATGAAAGTTTAATTATCAAGTATTGACCAAATTCTAGCTACTTATATACTCAATATGAATATAATGAGCAAAAGTATTATGAAATAAATATGTGATTATTAAGCAAAACATTTAGCCAACATTTTTCACGTTATTGTTGTTTTGCCTGAGTATTATGTATTTTTAAAATAACTTTTGAAATTTCTGTTTTTTCATATTTTAAAGGAATATTTTCTTAGGTATTATTCCGTCGCAAGCCGGGTGGAACAAAGGTGACTCGCAGAAGTTAATGACTAATTTTGGCACACCACGAAATACTCAAACTAGAGTTACAGCTGAAAATCTTCCGGTAGTTTAATGATTCTAACTTAACAAAATCTAATTATTACATGAAATGCATTATGTATAATAATTATTTCATTGCATTAAGTATATTCTGTTCAAAAAAAAATTATTTTAAGGAAGTACCAGAAGAACTCTTGTTAAGAACTCATGGAGAAGTACGCCTGCAATCTGGTACTAATAAATTTGAATCCCAGCGGGGTATGACTGGTTTCGGTACAGGTCGTGATGTTTGCCGAGAAGGTGTTCACGTAAACCAAGCACCCTCAGACTTAGCGGTTTGTTTATATTCCTTTGGCACTTGAAACTTCCAGAGAAACAATTTTAATGAAATGTAACAAATATTTGCAAGTTCAAAATTTTTGCTGGAACTGAATCTAAAATTATCACTCAGATGAATTTCAGCCACTTGAAGAAGAGAAAATTCGTCTCAGTGATGGAATTGTTCGTTTGCAAGCTGGAACTAATAAATACGATTCACAAAAGGTAATTAAATTAGTTAAAATTAGAACTTAATAGCAAGTACAAACTAAAAAGTTTTTGTTTGCATGTTAAATAGTTTAGTATTAAGTATATTAGTTTAATTTATTCATTTTAGGGTATGACTGGCTTTGGTACAGCTCGACGTGAAACAACTAAAATGAAAGACACCAAACATCCTGAATATGATCATGAGCGTCCTGACCAATCGGAAATTCCACTTCAAGCTGGCACTAATAAATTTGCTTCACAAAAGGTAGCCGAAGAATAAATTAACGTGAAGGACTGCAACTGTAAAAAATTTTCGAGAAATATTTGTAATAAACAATTCAATTTTGAATTTCTGTTAATTTTGCTTATAATATTTTCAAATGATAGATGGTTTTAAGTACTTTGTTCAGATTTTAAAACCGCAGTTAGAACCAAAGTATTGAAATTTTAAACCAAAAAATGTATTATTAGTCAATGGTAAATTGTGCTATTTGTACGTTCTTTATAAAAAGTGAAAGGAGACGTATAAATTTGTAGGGAATGACAGGATTCGGCACGTCAAGACGTGAGACAACGAAAATTTGTGATTCGGCTCATCCGGATTACGACCCAGAAAGTAGCATTGATGCAACAACGATTCCTAGCCAGATGGGTAGTAACAAATATGCCTCTCAAAAGGGTATGACCGGTTTCGGACAACCACGCTGGGAGGTAATTTTTCATTCCTTACTCTTCAGTTTCATGGTTTTTGTTTGCTTAAATTAGTGTTTATTTTTTTGAATTTGCTTTTTGGCCTTAACAAACATTTTCTTTGTTTCACTTGATAAATTGCTGAAGTGAAGTGGTAATTCAGGTCTTGGATCCTTCAATTTCATGGCAAAACCGCAAGAGTCAAGGAATGGTTCGTTTGCAATCAGGTACCAACCGGTAAGTTTGAATTTTACAATTTGAAATTATTCATTCTTACGTTATCTAATTATTACTGTGTACAAGTAATGATAAGAAATCTAAGGTTCTGAAATTAAGTCAAGAAACGTCAAAAAAAATCAGTGCCTTTGTTTTTTGCATATACAGTGTAAACATTGTTTCAATCAATTTCGTTTTTTCTTCATTTCAAAAATGAATCAAAGTCAAATATCGGTAGTTGAAAAGTTAAAAATCTAACAACTTTCAATTAGATTTGCATCACAACAAGGAATGACTGGTTTCGGTACACCTCGCAATACCACTTATGAAGCAGAAGCCGGGGAGTTACCATATGAGGAAATGAAGAAATCGGAAACAGTCATACCGTCACAGGCTGGTTGGAATCGAGGAGATTCCCAGAAGGTAGCTAAAAGCAGTTGAATAACATCATTTTTTTGCAATAAAAAAAATTTTTTAAATATCAGAAAATTTAAAAAGAAAAAAGGCTGTTAGTGAATTTTTGATAGTAATATCACTTGTTGCTTTTATTTGCTAGCATAGCAAATGCATTATTAAACAATCAAAAATTTTATATATTTGAATTTCTATAGGAAACAATTAATAATACTTCTATAACTAAAATTCTTTGTCTATTAACGATAAGTTTGATTTAGGGTATGACCGGATTTGGTGCACCACGTGATGTGAAAGGAAAACATCTGAAACGCATCTGGGAACTGGAATATCCTGAAGAAGCTGAAGCTTCACTTGATCGACTTTAGATTACGACTTTTGCTTTCAAATTATAAGCAGTTCCTCCAGCTTGAAAGTTTCAATGCCAAAGTTTATGTCGATTTTTAACTCCATCAACCCTTTATTCATGTTTAACTTGCCTTATAAATTACCTTCTCCAACCTAAAAAATAAGCATTTAAATATTCTAATTAATTATTTCTGCTCAAATGTTTACTTTCGGAAATAAATACTGAAATAAAAAAAATGCTAAAATGACTTTCTTAAGAATAGAGCTGTGTTTTCATAGAGTTCACAATCACAGCAACGAAATCAGCAAGAATATCATTACATCACATCTATTTTCACCGCTACAGAACTTATCAAATAAGAAAGTGAAACATAATGGCTGTACAAAGAAGAAGTTTGAAATGAACTTTGAAAGGTCCTCATCAGTTCCTCAATCTAACCAGGACAAAATTATGTATTCAGGCTTCATCGCTTTCTGTCCAATCCCTATTTATTCCCATAATTCTGGAATTTCGCGAAATTAATCAAATTTACTTCAACTGATAACAATAAATTTGCATCTTTGTTTGCACAGAACAAAAATACTAGCCAAACAGCAATTAACTATCGAAAATTTCCATTATCTACAGTAAACTAGTCCTTCCTCAGGAACAGATACAAAAAATTGTTCTGCATATTTTAAAATCGAGAAAAGCAGTCACTGGTATAATTATTTTGTTGTCAGTGGTAAAGGAGCCTTTCATCATGAATAATTTGGATCGATTTTAGTTTTAAGTATTTGATTGCAATCAGTAATTCCTACTTGGTATTGCGACCGTTTTTTTCTTTAACCACCGAAAATAAAAAGTGAAAAGCCAGAAAAAGCTGCCTGAATTGCTTTAATTTATATGCAGGTTTCACACGTCAATTGAACAACTTGATATCTGCTCAAATTTTTCTACTAATATCAATGTTTGTATTTATATTTTTCATAACATGCAAAAGACATGATAGTTATCTGTTACATGTAGAATATGCAAACTTTGCTTTTTGAAATTCGCAGTAGTTGAAAGTATAGAATGAATAACTTTTACGGGCCCAAAATTATTCAGCTTAATCAGTAGACTCTAAATTAAATTTGAATCACTGCACATATTAAAAATGAAGTTGCAAATAATTTTCGGCAGAGGGGCTGATTAAATTTCAGAAAAATGCTGGTAGAATATGCTAAAGTCAAGCAAAATTTTTATTGCAAGTAAAAAATTGTGTGGAAAGTAATATTTAATTGCAGTATTAAATGTGTTTGCTTCAGGTTTCAAGCAAATTTCAATTTCCACTTGCTTAGAAGGATAATATAACTTCAAGGAACTTCACAAAAATAAGTGACTCAGAGGAACAAATAATGGAATATAAAATTTCGTGTTGGAAATACAAGCAAACTTCGGGACCTTACCAGCTGCCACCCTTTAGCTTCCGATCATAAAAGTGGTGGGACTCTGACGCTGGGTTTATTTTTTAATTATCAGATTTCCTCTTTGGATTGTTTTAAACTTTTTATTCTATTAAATCTTTCCAGCTTTGTTCACGTAGAAGGTTTTTGTTTCATTATTTTGTCTTATTAAATACTTGCTTAATCATTTCGGATGCAACGTTCAATTTCGTAATTTTTTAGTATAAATGATTCATTTGAAATGTCTAGCAAATTAGGGATTGAGCTCTCAGCCGAGAGCTATAAGTCAAAGTCCGCACAAGGTAAAATCCTTTGCACCAAGAATTTTGGAATCAATAACTAATTATCAAGTATAAACTCGTAGTCATTTCGACAATCAACTGCTTAATTTATTGTAGCTGAAAGTAAGAAAATAGAAAAATAAATGAAGTTGAAGTAGTCTGACGAACAAGTCACTGATTTGTCATCTGAAAACCTGTCTTAATGTTTTGTTACTTAATCACTAACTTACTTGCCTACTTGTTGAAAATAAAGGCAATCCTCGGGACCCTACCAGTTGTCATCCTTTAGCTTTCGATTATAAAGGGTAGGGGAGAACTCGAAACCTGAGAACTCTTGCTCATCTTAAACTCTGGCAACATATTCGTTGGGAGCAAAAATCTCACAGGGTAAAAAATTACTTATCTATAAATACTGCTGACTAATGTAATTATTTTGTCATGGTTGTTGACATTTTACTTTGAGGGAAAAAGTAATGAAGTTAGCATGCGTGTAATTCCTCTTCAGTTTTAGGCACAGACAAAAGATCTTCCATGGCTGATTCCTTTCCGCCTGCATCAGGTAATTCCATTACTTTTATGATTGCTACTTTATTTTTAAGAACTTTACTGCTATAACGATATTCTATAACAAAAATATTTGAATTTTTTGCCATCCTTTCTTGCAAATTCGTTTGTTGAAGTGAAATGGTTTTTTAAATGATGAAAGGACTGGAAGTGAAAGAAAATATTTTGCTGAAAGATTACATAAAACAAGGACATTTATTTTATTCCAACATAAATTTCAGTAAACTAACTTAAAACAAGAAAATTAGTGGCACGTATACATAATGAAATCAAATCAATATATATATGACTGAATTATAGCGGTGCCTGAAGCTGGCTTGAAAATTACTCATGTAGAAGCACCTCTTACTGCCGAGAATGAACGCCGGACACGTAATGGTAAATTTACTATTGGACAGTTGCGTCAAACTGATGGTTTGGTACCACTACAATCTGGAACCAATCAGTTCGATTCACAAAAAGTGTGCCAGTTTTCTCCGTATTATTATGCTTGATAATTCTGCATTAGAACTTAAGATTAAAAGTGAATGATATAGATATTAGTTAAAATCTTTCCACACCAATAAATTTTGTTTAAAATGCTAATTAATTGATATGTGTTGACTAAGTGAATTGTCTGTTTAGAAGACGAGTGAAAAATCAAGAATTGATGCAGACAGAAAGAACATTGTTCAAAAATTGACTGGAATAATTATGATTTAGAAACACTGCCACGAGCAGTTAGATCCAATTTTCTTCGTTAAACGCTTTCTTTTTGAAGTTGCTGATTTCTCATTTGCACTTTAGTTCCTCGTTATTTTAATTTATAGCTAAGTTAGTTATATCTGACTGGTTGAAATTAACAAAGATCTTATTTACTTTACATTACTTTGAATACTTGTTGAGATTATTCTGAAAGAAAACGATTATTACACGTTGTTTAAAAGCGAAAA